TTGACCGTGGTAGGACCCTTGCTGTCTATGCAGGGTCAGAAAGCTCTCAGATTTCATAAAAAATATCTTAATTTATGTTCTGAAGATGAACGAAGGTCTTGCACGTTTGTGAACAACATGAGGGTGAGTAATTTGTGAAAAAATCACTTTCACGGACTTTTAAATTAAATGTCCCCTCCTGGTGGAACGACCTGCCCAACTCAAATTCTGAGTCCTTAGCCATCTTCAAGAATTGGCTAAAAACACATCTCTTCCATCTTTATTTGACCCTCTAACTCTCTATTCTAATTCTAATTTATCTATTTGTTGACTTGACCTTCTAACACTTGCTCTCTCTGTTCGTTTTCTAACCGCTTGTTTTCTTAAAAAAAGACCTCTAACACTAGCTTTCTCTATTCTTTTTCTATTCTATCTACTTGTTTTCTTTTGATATATATATATATTTATATATATATATAAATAAAATAAAACCCTTGATACATGTACTGTAACCGAGACTTTTCATAGCACTTGCATATTGTTGCTCTTTTGTTGCTTTTGATTGCTTCTATTGTTATCTCTGGATCTCTGGATCTTTTTGGATAAAAGCGCCTGCTAAATGACTAAATGTAAATGTAATCTCTGCTCTCTCTGCTCTCTCCTCAGGTGACTAGTTGTGCCTGGGTGCCGGACAGTTGTCAGCTGTTTACAGGCAGTAAGTGTGGAGTCATAACCGCCTACAGCAACCGCTTCACCACCACGATGGTACGTAACCATGACAACACGGCCCCCCTCTTCCCCCACCCACTCAGCCGCCCACGTCCATTATCACTCCCTGTAGAGCACCCACCCACACACACAGTGTTTGTAGTGGCCTTGTTGGTTATCTCCCGGTTGCCCTAGAAACACATTTCCTGCGGCCCACAGGTGGGCTGAAGTCTGGGCGTCAGACGGCTCTTTCAAGCGCTCTCTCATTGATAACGCAGGTGTCGTTCTGCTTCTCATATTTGTGTGTTGTTTCAAACCTGTCTTCATGTCATCTGTGGAATGCAAAGAAGATATTCTGAAGACTGTTCACACTGCTCTTTTTCAAGACCAGAGGCTGTCAGAATCACCATAAAAATGATGAAAATGTTCATTTTTGAGTGATTTAACTCTTGCATTCTGCATACAGTTGACTTAAAGAGGTATAGATGCAGAAAAGACTTTAAAGTTAAAATAATCAAGAACTCATTTTTTTTTTACCCATAATCAAAACTATGAAATAAAATTTTGCAAAAAGTAAATGAAGGCTGTTTTATGAGCATTATTTTTCATTACAGTAATGCACAGAATTATCATTTTATATAAAGCATTATATATTTTAATATATTTTGAAATATGATTCAATTTAAAGTGCAGTCAAACAATATCACAATTAGTGTCAAGAGTTTTATTTATTATTTTTATATTATTTTTATTTTGAGTTTTATTAATACTTTGAATGTAATTTAAATTTTTTGGTAATTTTGTTGCGTTTTTGTCATTTTATTATTATTATTTATTCATTTTTAAAATATTTCTATTTAGTTTTTATTAATTTTTAGTTCCATTGTAGTTTACAAGTATATTACAAGTTAAACTAAATGAAAATGAGAAATGTTGCCTTGGCAACAAGCAAAAAATAAAATAAGGTATTCTGAGGAGTGTTCATTACTATAATATAGTGTATTACTATAATGCACAAAATTATAATTTTATATAAATATATCTTAATACATTATATATTATTTAATATCAAGTGCAATCAATACCAATAGTATCACAATTATTGATATTGCCATTGATATTTTTATTATGTTTTAATATATTATTTTTGATTATTTGATTTAATTAAATTAGTTAATTTTTAAGTAGTTTTTATTAATATGTATGTATATATGTATGTATGTATGTATACATATATTTAGTTTTAGTTATTTGTGTACATCAAGTTAAAGTAAATGAAAGTGAGAAATGAAGTAAGTAAATCTCTATTTCAAGACCAGAAAAAAAAACATAAGTGTTGAATGTTCATTTTTGGGTGATTTAACTCTTAGCTGCACTCTCCATACGGCCATGTGCTGGTTTGTTTACTCTGGACCATAAAAGCAGATCAGAATCATCTGTTAAAGCGGTCTTTTAGCTCACTTCTGCTTATTGAGGCCATTATCCGTTTTCTAATGAGGCCATTAGCAAAACCCTTACCCTCTAAATCTGCGTGCTATTACAGTCATTCTCCATTGAGACGTGTGATGGTAAAGTCTGTTTATTTCTCAGCCGACAGAGATGGAGGTGGAGACGCAGCTTCACCTGTACGGTCACACGGCGGAGGTCACGGGCCTGTTCGTCTGTAAACCCTTCAGCATCCTCATCAGTGTCAGTCGAGACGGGACCTGCATCCTGTGGGACCTCAACAGGTCTGTGCTTCTGACATCACTGGAGTCATTTCATATCTTACATTTCTGCCTTTACCAGACACTTTTATTCAAAGCAACTTACAGAAGAGGAACAACGGCAATTCATCCAACAGTATTTGTAATAAACAATGCCAGGTTAATTAGACAACTAGATTAGGATGCATATTAAGATATATCAAAGGAATATAGATACAGAAAAGACATTAAAGTTGACTTGAATTTCAAATAAAGTATAGTGAAAAAATTTGGTGCAGAAACTATTTTTGCTCAAATTTTGCTAGTAAATTTCAGAAAGAAAGTCAAGTAACCCATTGAATTAAACCTGAAATTTTTAAGTAGGAAAACAGAAATAGTATTTTCTTGTAAAAAGTGCTCTAATAATCTAATTGACACTTTCAGAAAATATTTTTTATATTGTAGATAAGGCATTAAAATTTGTACAGAAAGAAAATAAAGCCTATTTTACGACACATTTTGCCCTCGAATTCTCATTAATGTACAAAGTTATTATTCTATATAAAAGTATATATTTTAATGTATTTTTAAATATTATTGGAGTGAATCTACTTATGCATCATACATAAACTGTAAATATTCTTTTTTGGAATTTTGCAAGTAAATACTATTTCATACTTTGTTACCTGCCATTTCTTTGTAATTATTTATTTATGCAACTTACTAGTGATTTATGATTGAAAGTTGTTTCAAAGTAAATGCGACACCACTTTTTTCAGTGTATTTGAAGTACTTTTACATCATAGTAGTAGTAAATCACTTTAATACAGTATTTTCTTTGCTGTGTCGCAGTAATGAGAAAATGAAGATTGTGTTGTTTGTGTGTTAGGTTGTGTTACGTACAGAGTCTCACAGGTCATAAGAGTCCAGTGAACGCAGTGTCAGCCAGTGAGACGACAGGAGACATCGCCACAGTGTGTGATTCAGGTGAGCTGTGTTTCCATGTATAAATGGTTGTTATTAAGTTTTCAATTACAGTGTAAACCAGCTGCTAAAGTTGGTGAAAATATTGCAACTGTATAGAATAAATGTAATAATTTCATGTTCTCTTCGTGTGTGCAGTGGGTGGAGGAAGTGATCTGAGGCTGTGGACGATCAACGGAGATTTGATTGGTCACGTTCACTGTCGAGAGATCATCTGTTCGGTGGCGTTCTCCAATCAGCCGGAGGGAGTGTCGGTCAACGTGATCGCTGGCGGCATATTTCAGGTTGTGGAGCACATGGGACCTGAAGCCAGTCAGAGAGATCACCTTCCCAAAATCCAACAGGCATATCATAAGGTACACACTTTTACCTCTTATATGACGTCACACAGATTTATTCTGATATCTGCATTAGAAAGGTTACATGCACCCAGCACCCATATACTACCAGTCAAAGGTTTGGAATACTTGTGAGTTTTTACTGTTTTTGAAAGAAGTCTCCTCTGCTCACCAGTGTTGCATTTCTTTAAACAATAATACAGTAAAAATTGTGAAATATCATTACAGTTTAAAATAACTGACTTTTATTGTAATATATGTTAAAATGTAATTGCAATTGAAGTTTCAGCATCATTACTCCAGTCTTAAGTGTCACATGATCCTTCAGAAATCTTCATATTTTTATGGAAAATAAAATATGTTTATAAAAACCGTGATACACAACCATTCAAAAGTTTGGGGTTAAAAAAAATTGTATACATTCAGCAAGGATGCATTAAATTTATCAAAAGTGACAGGAAAGACATTTCTAATGTTACAGAAGATTTCTACTTCAAATACTTGTAGTAACTTTGGAAGTTGAATAGTTGAGTTTGACAAAGCATAACAACTGCACAAATGCACAACTACTTGTGTAAAAATTAAATGCATGTAGAATGGCTTCCAAAAAAAAAAAGATAGAAAAAAACAGTGGTTACAAATAAAGTAGAGATAGATTTTTTTTTAACTCTTCCAGTCTTAAGTGTCACATGATCCTTCAGAAATCTTCATATTTTTATGGAAAATAAAATATGTTTATAAAAACCGTGATACACAACCATTCAAAAGTTTGGGGTTAAAAAAAATTGTATACATTCAGCAAGGATGCATTAAATTTATCAAAAGTGACAGGAAAGACATTTCTAATGTTACAGAAGATTTCTACTTCAAATAAATGCTGTTCTTTTGAACTTTCTATTAATCAAAGAGTCCTGAAAAATACAATGTATCAGTTTCCACAGAAATATGAAGCAGCACAACTGTTTTCAGCATTGATAATAATGAGAAATATTTCTTGAGCAGCAAATCAGCATATTAGACTGATTTTTGAAGATCATGTGACACTGAAGACTGGAGCAGTGATGCTGAAAATGCAGCTTTGATCACAGGAATAAATTACATTTTAACAGATATTCACACTGAAAACAGCTGTTTTAAATTGTAATAATATTACACATTTTTACTGTGTTTTTGATCAAATAAATGCGGCCTTGATGAGCAGAAGAGATTTAAATCTTAATGCCCAGTAGTGTAAGTGTCATGTGATTAATGACGTTTCCTTCTGTATCCTCTCTCAGTCTCACGTTCTCGTGTGACGGTCATCACCTCTACACGGCTAACAGCGAGGGCACGGTGATCGCGTGGTGCCGTCGAGACCAGCAGCGCTTGAAGCTGCCCATGTTTTACTCGTTCCTCAGCAGCTATGCTGCAGGCTGATCCTGCGTCACGCCGCTCGTTACCCACACAGGATGGAAGTTGAGAGCGACCCCGCCGACCCAGGAAGAGGAGGAGCCAGCATGCACAAAGCCCCGCCCACGATCATCACAGAACCCGCCCCTGAAACACCATAGGAACGGACGCCACTTGTACCATAAAGAGCAGGGGCTCCTGAGGCAGCGCGAACGCAGGCCTTTCCCCGCATCATTTCTCCTCGTCTGTTTTGACTGATTCATGTAGTATTTGTGTTGTTGATTATGAAAGCTGCTACAATCTGGTCTGCCCAGACTGAACGTTTGAAGGCCTTTCCTTCTTTTTGTCCCTCGTCTCGCCCACCCGTCACCATCCTGAGAATATCCTGCTTTCGAAGCTACCGACCGTCTGCGCTCCTGCAGAAACAGCATTCATGATCCACGCGGCAGGTTTTAAACGGACGATTAAAAACTGGTGCATGAGTGACATGCAGCGGCGTAATGAATGTGTGCACGCAATGCCTTCTTAAACATCATCCCTCATCGACAGACCGCTGAAATATTTATTCTCAAACAAGGATGAAAGCCACAATCTCAACGTCTGGTTCTTGTTCTTCATTATAAAATGCGCTCGGGACAATCTTATGAATGTCAAAGGTGGTCGTGTGTCACTCGTCAATCGCCGACTGTGCTAATATTTATCCTGTGCTTTTCTACCTGAACAAACGTCCCAGTTACCACATCCGATTTGTAATAGTTCATTAAAAACATGTTCTGCTTGCTTATTTTCTGTTCTAGTTTTATATGTTGCATGTTATGATCACTTGAACATTATTTAACATTGGCGATACAATATAAGGTTTAGTCAGATCTACCTCTAGGCCCCTCTTACAAATAAAAGACAAATAAAATTAGAAATACTTCTGGTAACAATAAAAACAACCTGTTTATTGTACAAAGACGATGACACTATATCCCTAAAAAAATACAATTCCCTGACAGTACAAAGGGTTCGGATGCTCTTGAAGTCTTAAGTGTTGACAGCCTTAAATGTGGAGGAAGAATAATTGAATTTGAGTCCACCATCTAAACATGATCCAGAATGTTATTTGCCTTTGTTTGTTTCCTATTCTGTATTTGCTTTTAGCACGAGTCTTACATTACAACTAATTTAATTATCTTGTCTTACATTTTAGTGTTTACCAGAAAGGGAATGCTTTCACCTTTTTCCCCTTTACTACTTTGTTTTTCATTATTATCAGAAATATCTACTGTGTATCATTTGAACCCTCAAATGAAGTTACTCAGTCAGTGTAAACCCAGAAAGAGTCGACTAGTTCGGGAGAATCATCTGGTGTTTACAGAGCCCTGTTATGTGTTGGTTTTTTGTTTTTGAATCTATTTTCCATGCTTGCATCACATTTATCTCTTAATTATCGTGCACAGTATTGTCATGTTTGCGTTCCCTCAGAAAGAGATTGATGTTACTGTCATCGTGGGAGTTGTTGAAGCGAGATGAATGTGTGAATTTGTTCGACATAACTATCACGAAAAGGCTTATTGTTATCGTTCTGTTGAATTAACAGTGGTTTGTGTAATTTAAGATCGATATGTTCACCGAGGCCTGGCTGGGACATTTATTTCCTTTTTTTTTTGTATTTATGAAATGTAATAAAATGTCACCTATATATAATATAAATATAAATATTCAAGACATTTTGATTCAGTTTGTTGCACTTGTTTCCTGTACAGTGTTAAAAATAGCTTCCAAATGTTTTTTTTTTCTGCAGGGATTTCATAGAAGAATCTTTTAGTGAACCATTTTTCTTCATATGAAGAACACTTTACGGAGTTAAAGAACCCTTTTTTGCTTCAAAGAATGGAATGGAAAGGTTCTGGGGATGTCAGCCTCGGTATTTCATTTTTCTAATTCAAATATCTGAACATTCTTAAATCAAGATACATTTATTTGAGATGCAAAATGAACATGAAGTATTATTTTATAAATTGAGTTTATGCTTAAAACAAGTACAAATATCTGCCAATGGAGTATAATGTGTTTTCCTTTTGAATGAAGTGTGTTTTTTTGAGCCCACTGGCAGATATTTGTTCTTTTAATTATAAACGCTTCATTTTGATGAATTTCTGATGAAGAGATCTGTGTGAAGTCATATTTTCAAACTCTGGAGTGTTGCTAATAGAACTCGTTTACATTTAGAGAACATGACATAAGTGTTGCCTTAATTTTATTCCTTACATTTTCTTCACTAGATCTTAAAAAGTGTTACATTTACCTTCATAACACCTGCAGAACCCCTGATTCATGGAACCACGTGCCAATAAAGAGCCTTCATTTTATTCTATATTTGTCAGTTCTACACTTTTAAAAAGAATTTCATAGCGATACCACAGAAGAACAATTTCTGGTTCCCCAAAGAATCTTTCCGTTCTTAAAAGAACCAGTTTTCTTAGTGTAAAGAATGATTAAAAACCACCATATTCCACAATATGCTGAATCGTATCTGTAGATTAACTTTATTTAGATGAACTTTTTTGCAATGTAAGTGTTCCATGGATGTCATATGTTTCCTTTAACAACGAAGAACCTTTATTTTAGTCTATATTGCTTAGTTCTTTTCTATTGTGGTATATTCGGTTTTATTCTGTTCCATTATATACTGCTTGTTCTATTACTGTATTATAATTAGCCTGTATACTTAACTAGTAGGCTATTCTATTCTATTCAAGTTCCCAGCTGCATTTGTGTCTTTGCTTATTAATCAAACTTGCTATAATACCGTGAGTGTTACGTCACAGCGCGAGTGTTTCGGAGGCGGTGACGTCATCGCGGTGACTGGGAGACCCGGTGATGTCACGTTAAGCGGGGAAACCTCACGTGCCTCCGGTGCGCCCTGCAATATACCGAGCCCTAACGATCCGACACCGAGCGTCTTGTGATATTAACGCGTCCGGCGGGCTTCTTAAAGGCGCAGCGACACCTGCGTTTGTGCGTCGCATCGAGGTTCCCCTCGCATCTCATCCAGCGCCGGAGCAGAAAAGCGGGTGATGAACCGTGTTTGAGGTGTTGCAGGTTTTTCCTCGTCGCGTTCGGGTGGAGTCGAGCCACATACTGTGCAGTGACACACTTCAGGTGGGTGTTCACACGCGTTACCTTCAACTGCGTTTCCTGTTCTGCTGAATTAGAACGTTTGTGCAACATTCGCTGCGCGTTTGTTACAATTCCGGCGTTCCTTTACGGGTGACGGATTCGCTTGTTATCGAATTGAAACGCGCTCAGTCTGAAGGGATGCGGGCTGATGGATGGGTCCCGCAGGGTTTTTAGGGGGGAGTGATGCTGGAAGCACGTCTCTTGGGCGTTTGAGTCCACCGCCTTTAAATCGTAACGATCGGCTGTGATTGCTAAGCGTTCAGAGATAATTCACGAAATGGCCTTGAATGAACGGATGGAGGAATAATAATCACGACCCTCGTGTGTTTTTGCTGATGCTAGATTTCATGTCGCCTACAAATAATGAGCATTATGAAAGCTAAAACAGCTTTGGGTAAATATGGTTTATTTCTATGATGCTGAATTGTGAAGCATGTTATTCAATCAAATGCTCCAGTGCTTCTGGCCTGTATTCAGCATTGGTGTGGCATCATGACTGATGAGCTTCATAAACGCCTTTTTAACCCTCATGTTCTGGTGGTGTTGCTGTGTAGTGATTTATGTGTAAAAAATATTCCTAAAATTCCTCTGACCGTTTTGACGGGTATTATTGGAGCTGTTATATCACAACATTGGCATAGACTTGAGAAATGTGATTGTTTGGTGCAAAACACACTGTATAGGGTTTACAGTTCTGGAAAATTCACGGAAATTAATAAAATCATAAAAAGTCATGGGTTTTTACATTTTCGATAATGAGCATATACACATCCATACACTGCCGTAAGTGAGAATGTGTAATGTTTTATTTAAACGTCTCTTCTGCTCACCAAGGCTGCATTTATTTGATCGAAAATGCTGTAAAAATTGCTAAATGTTTTTATAATTTAAAATAACAGGCTTTTGTTGTAATAGATGTTAAACTGTAATTTATTCCTGTGATCAAAGCTGTATTTTCAGCATCATTACTCCAGTCTTCAGTCACATGATCTTCAGAAATCATTCGAATATGCTGATTTGCTGCTCGAGAAACATTTCTGATTATTAGCAATGTTGAAAACAGTTGTGCTGCACGATATTTTTTGTGGAAACTGTGATTGAATCATTCTTTGATGAATAGAACATTCAGAAGCACAGCATTTACTTGAAATAGAATTCTTTCATAATATTAGAAATGTCTTTACTGTCACTTTTGATCAGATTAATGCATCCTTGATTTTTTTTTAATTAATATTTTGAATAAAAAATCTTACTGACCACAAATTTTTATTGGTGTGTGTATATGTGAGTCATAAATCCTGTCACATGGTTACAGTAAAGTACTGTGGTAATGCCATAGAACTTTGTCATTTATTTTACCTTTTACATTATTAAATGTTAACCTCTTGAGCATCTATGAGTTTGCATGAAGAACATAAAAACTCTTATTCTTTTTGGCTAAGTGTCTATTAAGTTTTGTTTAGTAAACATTTTAGTGCTATATGATATATAGCCTACCATGCTACTGAATAATTACAGTCTTCACATACAATGGTATTTACTTGAAGGTACTCATAAGAATACTGGTGCACCATCGTGTAGTCTTTGTTAGTGTAAGATCTAATATTGTTGTGATTGTCTGGAGTTGAAGTTTGACCTGCAGGAGTCAGCTGTGCTGTAATAATACAGAAGCAGCTCACAGACTCTCCGTGTCTCATCTGGTGTGTGTTTTGTGTGCAGG